ATAAAATATAGTTACTATGGCCATGTTTAGTTGACCTGATGCAAATGTTTATCATCCAAAAATAGCTGGGGGCACAGTTCTCTGTTACTGTTATTTTGTGGGTCAAAAACTGAAAATTTGGGAACCACTGGTCTAACTAGTTGAAGCAGAAGTCATTATAGGCAACCATTTTGCTGCACTAACTAGTTGGCTATTTAACTCCCTAGTTGACCTCAGTGTCATACAAGTTAACTAGCAGGTATTAGRTAACTTTATTTGTCAATACTACTACTAGTCAACTGGTGACTATCAGATAACCACAAGTCCAAACTAAAAGTTTAAGTAATCAACTGGTAAAATCTAAAAGGTCCACTAGTCGATTAATTGACAAACTTTTGTTCTTTCTAGTTAACTAGTGTACCAAAAAATGCAAACTAGTGTGACTTAACTTGGCTTTTTTGTTAACCTTTTTATATTGTAGGTGCACTGGTCAACTAGTGCACCTACAATATAAAATATAGAGTTCACCAGTCAAATACCCTCATTTTCAGTTGCACTAATTAATTAGTGCACACATTTTGACAGTCACTATTTAACTAGTAGGCATAATTTGTATTGACTAGTTAACATGTAAGAACCTTTCTYACCTACTAGTTATGACATTGTCTACTGCTTTGGTCCAGTGGTCTATCAGTGCATTAAAAAGCCAACTAGTTGGGACTTTTGAGCTATTGGTGCGGCAATATGGCTGCCTGTTATGATTTCTACACCAGCTAGTTAGGCAAAAGTGCAATCAGTTGACAAAAAGYGTTACTAGTAAGAGTGTTTGATGAACTAGTGAGATCAAAAGGGAAACTAGTAGCTGGTAGTTTAGGTTTGAGTGGTTAACCTGCTCACCGGTGAGTCAAAGTGAGGGACTGAAGATGTCGACTTAGTRGGAGGTCCAGCGCTGGGTTTGACCCCACATGGATGGATGACTGTGGGGACGTTGGCGCGGGGTGTGAATCCCCCCTCACATCTGTCACTTGCCACCTTTCGGTACCTGCAAACATGCAGCAGATGGGCTCAGGTGGGAGTTTGCTTCAAACAACATCAACAACAAAACAAATGCAGGACTTCAAGGGTTAAAAAGGAGACACAAATACCCTTCAGTGATCAGCTCATCCTCCTCTCCATTCAGACACATGTCAAGGGTTTTGTTTGCAGCGACTGGTTGTCTCACGCACTCTGAGGTGTTGACATGACGATAATAACCATAGTCACTGTTGGCGATGAGAGGAACTGGTTTTAAAGAAAGTCTGCATGATGATAATGTTCAATAACGTATTCCCAACATTCTGTACCATATGTAGTCCTCCCTGGTGCATAAGCAGGGGCTCTGCTTCTTGCTCACTGCAAATTTTCGACCATTTCTGCACACAGACTGCTTCTTCAGCCTCCGATAAGTCTCCTTCAGTCCCAGGACACATCCCTTTCTCTCCGAGTCTCCTTCTGCTGAATGAGCCAGCCACTCCTCATAGTCTCGAGCATTACCTGAAGAAAAAAAAAAGATAAAATTATGAAACGCACTGCTGTAATTTGAGCCGGTTCAGTCGATATGCATTTACATTGTCTGGTGATGAGGCTCTGGAAATCGATGGTGACGGCCACCCACATGGGCTGTCCATCCTCCTCAGGACGGAAGCCCCACACGCTCACACTCATGGCCTTGGTGCCTGGCTCCGACGCCAGGCCGGCGAAGAAGAACGGCTGCTCCGTGAAGTTATACAGCTTCCAGCAGCGGCCTTCGTCAGTGGAGAACCTGATGTGAGAACGTTAATTCAGTCCAAAACCCAAACTATTATTAGTTTACGGTTAATTGAGCTTGAAGTACAGAATATTTTTAATTACTTGATGGTCTTGACTTGTCCTTCATGGTGAGCCTCCACAGCCACAATGAGACCCCCAGAGTCTAATAGGCTGTAGTGGTGAGGACCTTTTAATGTCCCCCTCCAGTTGTACCCCCCATCAGATGAAACAAACACATCTGGGTACTGAGACGAGGACAAAGAATCTCCTACTGTGCCTGATGAAAACAATAGATGAGAAAATTACACTTATTTTAGACAAACTGACTTGCTTTGGGGGGATAATTTTAGTTACCATGAGCGATTACGAGACCAACGGCAGTTGGTTCAGACAGAGCCAACATGGGTACTATCCGGTTATAACGGCTGTGTTCTCCGTGAATATGAAGGTTGCACTTGGAACAAAAATAAACACACTTATYATGATTATTTAGAACCTGATGAGCTTTTTCTTTGACTGAACATACATTCTTGACATGGTCTGCACAGTTCACATTGTCGGGTTTGTTGAGTCGCCTCCACATCCCTCCTCTGTTAAAGGAAATGACAGATCTTATATGGCCATCTGTAAGAAAACAAAGGGCTCAAGTCAGAGTTTTTCTTTCTGCAGATGTTCAAAGTGAAAAAAGAAGAAAGGAGCAGTCCTCAGTTTGAACTATGACCACGATCATGACGGGGGAATACTGCTTAAATTGGGGTAGAAAAGTGCAACAAGTTCTGGGAGTCTAGTTGGTAACATTTAAAGAAAAATAACTGTCTTGCGCCATCCATTTATTTTTTTTATTTTTGGCTTCAAAGGAGCCAAACATTCTTGTGTTATTAAGGTATTAGACAAAGATCATGAACCGTAACCCCCCCCCCCCCCACCCCCATAAAACTCACCAAAATCAAGTTTATTTGTGAGATAAACTCCTCTCAGTGACGTGATGTTGGTGAAGTCACTCTTTTTCTGTCCGCCAAACAGGTGGCGCTCCAAAGACTTGGAGAACAATATCCCACGGTCATCTGAGGTGTACATGGTCCCAAAGTAGGTGTCTTGGATTAAACAAACAGAAAAAYACTATCAAAGCTCAGGTCAAGTGTGTGATTGGTTCATCTTAGGATAAAGAACACAAAATGAAATCAACAAACTTAGTTCAGAAAACAAATTATTGGGGACAGTTAGAGAAAGCGCTATGTGCTAGCTGAAGGATTGCTAAAATTTGCTAAAGGAGCCGAAATGAGTTGTTTGAACTCAAAGAAGCAAAACACCAGCTAAAAGGAGCAGAACACTGGTAAAATGAAGCAAAAGTCCAGCTAAAAGCAGAAAATGATAGCTAAAAGTCAGCTAAAGAAAGGCTAGCAAAAACATAGAGGTTAGCTAGAAGCTCAAAAGAGCCAAATGCTGGCTAAAAGTAGCAAAATGATAACTGAAAATCAAACACAAAATGCTTGTTAAATGTAGCAAAACGCTAGCTAAAAGCTGCCTAAAAACGAAAAGTATCATAATAAAAAATCGAACCTCAACATTTTCCATGGGGTTGGAAAGATCTGTGTATTTCTTAAAGGAAAATATTTGTAAATAAAGTTACATTTTGTGAAGTATAAAAGGTTCAAAAGTCAAAGCACCTGTCTTTTGACTGAGCTGAACATTTTGATGTATGAACGGCTAAAATAGCACAAAGTATGGTACCAAAATACAAAGTATATTTTTAGGAATGTAGGACTCCGTCTATTTGTTCTTGGACTATTGATCAGTGGCTGGGAACAGACAATTTTGCACTGACAGAAACTTTTCAACATGAGCAGCATCGGCATCAAGTCATTGTCAGTCATGATTTCTGTGTTTGAAGCTCACACACACACACACACACACACACACACACACACACACACACACACACATTCCACTCAGGTGGTCAGATCTGCTGCAGCCTGGGAGCTCCTCTGACTGTCTGTCAG